CCCCCTTTTAACCCAGCTTCCCGGCCACCCTACTTACCGCACCCCCCCACTTACGCTTACCCAGGATCTTCCCGCCCTTTCTTCCTCCCTTACCAGGTTCCCCCCGCAGTCCCCTCCCCCTGCGCACCCCTCGGTTCCAATCACACAAGCACGTGCAGCGACGCATATGGACATAACGGTCCCAGTTCGAATAAGGAACAGAACTATAGTACACGCAGGTTTGTCTCGTATCCTCAGTTCCCAGTTCCCAGTTCCGTCCAGTTCCTTATCGACCATAAGAGAAAAGGCTAAGGATAGCTTGAGAAAGTCGGGCAGAGATGTTTTAATGTTGGTGCCAGTGAATTTCAGGACGCCGGCAAGATAGTTAGAAGGCTACTCGCGGTACTCGTTGTCCCTCGTCGAGATCAGTTCTGATACAGTGCGAACCCCTAACACCCAGTCCATAATTTAACGCCTATTCATTGATAACATGAATACCGAAATCCATTTAAATGCACACTATTGTGACCCGAGTAAGCGGCCGCAGGTCGGCGACCAAAGATTCGATTCCCCAAGTGTTATTGTTTTCTGATACCGAGCCGCGCGCCGACCACGCCTACGCACGGCACATCCGCACACAGCCCGACCGCGAGCCCGGCGCGGCGCACTGACGCGCGGAGCCACGCACACGAACCACGCACGCACAGGCATCCCACACACGGCAACAACACACACACACACACACACAACACACACACCAGGCCACACACCAACACCGCCGCGCACACACACAGCTAATCATCATGGCACACGCCCCGGTACACATCGCATGGCTGCTCGCGACGCAAACTTCGTTTCGCCGTCATTTCGCGGTAGATGGCGCGCATGACACAGAGTCGCCACTCTCGGCTTCTCAGTCGTTCGCTCCCCGTCGACGCCCAGCCACCGGCCGCTTAACAAATCAACGAGCACAGATTGACGTGTAGGTGTGTGTGCGTGCGTAGACGCGTATAGGTGTTGCGTGTGTGCGAGCGTGTATGTGCGTGTGCGCGTGTGCGTATATTGACGTGTAGGTGTGTGTGCGTGCGTAGACGCGTATAGGTGTTGCGTGTGTGCGAGCGTGTATGTGCGTGTGCGCGTGTGCGTATATAGACGTGTAGGTGCGTGTGCGTGCGTAGACGTGTATAGGTGTTGCGTGTGTGCGAGCGTGTATGTGCGTGTGCGCGTGTGCGTATATTGACGTGTAGGTGCGTGTGCGTGCGTAGACGCGTATAGGTGTTGCGTGTGTGCGAGCGTGTATGTGCGTGTGCGCGTGTGCGTATATAGACGTGTAGGTGCGTGTGCGTGCGTAGACGTATATAGGTGTTGCGTGTGTGCGCGCGTGTGGGTGCGCGCGTGGGCGTGTGGGTGCGCGCGTGTGAGTGCGCGCGTGTGGGTGCGCGCGTGTGGGTGCGCGCGTGGGCGTGTGGGTGCGCGCAGGCGCGTATGTGTAAGCCGGGAGGACGACGAGGCGCGTAGTTGGACAGTGACCGCGCAGCAGCAGCAGCACGATCGGAGATTTAGCGCGATTACATTCTCTGCTCGTGTATCCTCACGATATCACTGCCAGGAAGCGACCGCAGCGACAGCGGCGGCGTACGCGCGCAACTCCCGTGCCGGCACAGCACACGGATGCATGTCGGAAGTAAGTGCGCGCACAAAGAAATCACTGTTGAATCGGCAGCAGCGGCAGCCGCAGCAGCGCCGGTTCGGGGAATTACGGACGACGGCGCTCGAGCGGAAAATCAATTTCGAACATCAATAGATCTTTCTCTCTCGATCTTTCTAACTCCCCCCTCCCCCTCCCCCCGCCTCCCCCTGCTCTCAGGTGCGCGCCGCCTCTTACACACGAGAGAGCGCGCATGTGTGGAACGAACCCCGGCGGGCGGTGCACGGAGAGGGCCAGCAGAGAGGGAGGGGGCAGGGGGGTGGGAGCGCGTGAGGAGGATGAATGGAAAACGCCTGGCTGACATCGCACGCGATGAATCGGGTCTCTAAGCGGGTCGCCCCCCGTATGTGTGCGATTGACCCCTAAAGCTGGCCAGACATCCTGCTATTAGCGTAGTCAGTAATCCCTGAGCACGCGCTCGTGTCCCGCGTCTGTGCGTGCATGCGCACCTGCACGTACCCTTCACATCTCTCATAGCGAACCACAACAGCTGAATGACACTACACCTAACCAACCACCCACATATAACCACCCACTCACCCCAACGGGTATTGATTATAGTTCAGAAACGCTAAACAACCCTTATTATGCTGAATTGTCGTTTATGTTTGATTCGTACAAATGAATGAAACATCCTGATGGGACTCGATTGCATCTGAAGTGAACCCCCCATTATCATGCAAAAAATTTCCTGTTATGTTCGATTCGTACACCTGAATGAAATACCATGATGGGGTTCAATTATATCTGAAGTGAAGACCCCTTATTCTGCTGAATCCGCTGTAGTGTTTGATTTGGACAAAAGAATAAAATACTCCGATGGGTGTCGACGAGATCTGATGTGCGATACCATGTGTAATGATCTTGCTGAAGTTCCTATTATGTTTGATTCTGACAAGTAATAAAGAAAACCCGAAGACCATCATCGTAATCACAGACAGCTAATTTACAATATCCTCAACCACCCATTAAACGATGAAGATCGATTAGACATTAGAAGTGAAACGCTTCATGAAGCTTTATAAAATTAGCCTAACAGCTTTGTGAAATTATCAACTTTCGCATCTTTAAAACCCGAAGGTAGAGAATGAACGCGCGGGTTAGGGCCGCGGGGCCTGCTCTAACCCATGTTGATAGTGTGCTACCGTTCACGTCTGATAATCATCTAACATCCGCATTGGCAGATCAGAGAATTTGTAGATGCGCGCGTGAGATAAAGGGTCGAGCGAGCGCGCTCCAGTTTATCCACGCGATGCGTTGCATCTTAGGAAAACCCGACTGTGTCGACTGCGGCATCTAGAACGACGAGCAAAGGTCACGAGAAAAAAGAAAAAAGAAAAAGGAACCTGCTTCTGTTCTTTGCACTTCGTGCGCAGGCGAGTCTACATGCCGGCGAAACCACTGTAGCGGTCATCATCATCATCATCATCATCATCATCATCGTCATCATCATCATCATCATCATCATCATCATCATCATCATCATCATCATCATCATCGTCATCATCATCATCATCATCGTCATCACTATCGTCATCATCGCCCTCATCCAGGCCACGGCGAGGCAGGCATGCCCGCCGTCTAGCGGGCATTGTGCGGTAACATAATCCCTGCTGCAGCTTCCGCGTTCCTGCGTGACCGCTAGCGCCGCTGCCCCGTTCTCACCTTCGCGGCTGCGGCGGCGGCCATATTGCGTGCCTTTTGTTCGCTCGGCTCGACGGGAGCCACTAAGCACGTGATCTAACTATTCGTATCTAACGTAACCTGTATGATACAGGCGGCTCCGGTTCCGCTTCACTACACTAAGTAGTAATACAGTTAGAGTAGTGAAGCCGAACATACCGTCTGTATCATACAGCTTATATCTAACGTAACTATTCGCGGCTCTTTAACGCTGCCATTGTGTCCTATAGTGCAGAAAGCTCAGCTGTTGGCGTGGCGCCGATAGCATAACTCCACCAGTACGTCCTGGTGCTGATTAGAGAGAGAGAGAGAGAAAGGGGGGGAAGGGAGAGGGGGAGGGAGAGAGAGAAGATGAAGAAGGGTAGAAAAGAGAAAGAAAGAGGGCGAGACTGAAACAGAGAGAGAGAGAGAGAGAGAGAGAGAGAGAGAGAGAGACAGACAGACAGACGGACAGACGGAGATCGCATGTGTTTCTGTATTTGCAGACACTAACCTCATTCTCACTCATTAATGCTTCACTAGAACTAACTTGATATAAACCAAATAGAGAGCGCGCTTGGATAAGCATCATTGCGGACCGGTTCACGGAGCGGGGATCACCGTAGCAGCGCGAAGCTAACGCCTAATCTATTTCTTAATTTCAGCATCATAATATAAGCTCTCGACCTATGTTTTCCGCGTTGACGCAAAGGGCAAGCGAGTGTGATCGTCGTTGCCTTCTTCGTTCTTCTTCTTCTTTTTCTCCGTTCTTCTTATTCGTTTCCTTCTTCTTCTTAGCCAACTTCCTCCAGTATTTCTGTCTGCCGCACTAGCGGCAACCACACGGCCTACTTGCACCCGAAGAAGCTTAAGATCACGCTAGTACCAACGGCATGACAGCGCCTGTATATATTATACACCGTAGTAACAATGGCCCCGGGCTTTCACGTGATGTGAAATCAGCTGCATTCAAGCTTCAACTCGGAAGTACTGGTTGCCGCCGTCTGATCTTAGATCGGAGTGCGGCGGGTGGAGGGGGGGGGGTGAATTGTGTTTGGCGAGAAGCGGAACGACTTTGTCAAGAGTGGGAATAAAGAATGTGTGAACACACACGCGGGAGTGCGCGCGCAACGCATCACCGGCAGACACTCACGCACGCTCGCAGGCACGCGCACACACACACACACACACACACACACACACACACACACACACACACACGCGCACACTCACGCACGCACGCACGCACGCACACACACACACACACACACACACACACACACACATACACACACACACACGCATACGCACACACATTGGGTGATTAAACGTTAGGTTTGAAGGAATATCAATCAATTAGGCTCATTCTTCCTTCTCCTTCCTATCTCTCCCTTTCTCCCTCTACCTGCTATCTCTCTCGCTCTCCCTATCTCGATTTACGTCTCCCCAGTTGCCCATTTCTATTTATCTGTCTGACCCTCCCTTACGCTCCCCCTTTCTTTCTTTTGCTCTCTACCTCTCTGTTTTAGGCACACGCACCCACACGCACACGCGCATACCATACACATACATACACACGCATACATGTATTAACATATACACGCGCGCACAGACGCACAGACACAAACATTGTTCCCGGACACGCACACGTACACACACACACACACATGTACCACCAAAACAAATTACAGGAAAATACTACTGCATGACCCTCTCAGCGACAAAGTTGACGGGCTTTTACGCACAATTGCCGCGGTGCGCGCTCCTGTTGTCGGTCACGGAACCGTTTACCACGCTGCACGCAGCATTGTTAAGTTATCATGCTATCCATCCGCATACGCTATATAAATGACACTAAACGTGTGCCAGAAATAGCGAGATCTGTGACCCCTCGTCCTCTTTCATAGCTCACCTCTCTCTCCGATCGCCAAAAAATTGATAATGTTGACTGGATGTAATTAGTCGGTGTATTTTCTGTGTCGGCGGTAAGTGGAGTCGCTTTGGTGACACGGTGGCCGCCATTCCACGTTCGGGACACTTCGCGCCCGCGATTTCATTGTCACAGTAACTGGTGGCACTAACAGTCGCACCTGATGGGGTCGCTTGACTACCCTAACCCTTTACTTACTCTCTCCTGCCACGCGTGTGGCGCGTTTCTGTTTGATTGCACGTTGTAAAATTCCGAGCTTTTATCGCCATTTAAGTTACCCGCTTATTTGAACTGAATACGCTGTCATTTCAGATGTACACGTTAATTTAAACTAGATACCGATTCAAATTCAGGTACACACTGAGGTAGAGATTATTGGCATTTAATGCTTAAGCGTTGGCTCTTATACACATAACTATTATTGTAAAATATTTTGCCTAAAATACGAAATTTTCTAACACGCTTCCATGAGTTAATTAGAGATTAAATGGCGATTAGTTATTAAATATACTCAAATAAATCAGTAGTATCTATCCTTACAAGTAGAACGCATAGACGAGTGTCATCCCCAACATTGAATAAAATTCTCAATTTAAAGTTAGATCGTTGGATAAGCTATCCGTGTTGTACGCAACTAACGTACAACTTATCTCAGCGATCTTCGAAAACAGCATTCGGCCGATGCGCGCTTAACACGACTCAGCTGACATGCTGCGCCATCTGTTGGCAATGCACCTAAACAGGAGCGTTCCAAAACAGATCGACGCGGGAATTTCGCAAGTTGGAATTTTTATCCGTTTATCCACACTCAGAAACAACCAGAATACCACATCAAGAATCAGTGAGCAAGCGAGAAATAGAGAGCCGGAGAGAGAAAGAGAGAGAGAGAGAGAGAGAGAGAGAGAAGAGAGGGAGGGAGAGAGCGAGAGTGAGCAGCGAGAGAGAAGAGAGACGAGAGAGAGCAGAGAGAGAGAGAGGAGGAGAGAGACAGCCAGAGCAGACAGACAGACAGACAGACAGACAGACAGAGAAGAGAGAGAGGAAGAGAAGAGAGAGAGAGAGAGAGAGAGACAGACAGACAGAGAGAGAGAAGGAGAGAGAGACCGACAGACGAAGAAAAAAGAGAGAGAGAGAGAGACAGAGAGACAGAGAGATTAGTGCCTCTAATGCAGGCGGCCGGCAATTGACGAGAGTCATCAACCGGCCGCGCTACATTACGTAAACGCAGCAGCGGCAGTATAGTATAGTGCCTCACGTTTTTCCTACCTTCGATTGATGCTGATGACGTTGATGACGATGCGCTGTTTGCCTCGATGGCTGCTGCTGCTGCGCTGCTACTACGATGAGGTGTGCTCGCTAAACTACACCACCATTAAAGCTCTACCGACACTGGGTCACAGACAATCTCATTTTCGGCCGGCGCGCCGCTTATATACGCGCAAACAATTCCGGATCAGGCCCGCCGATGACGCGGCGGTCAGACCCAGTCACGTGACTCGTACTGCAACGCCCGGTCATGTCATCGCGTCTCTCTGATACACTCGTAAGAAGATAATAAAGATAAAAGCTACCCTGTGGGTATAGAAAACAAAAGCGCTGTGGGAACGGCTGCGGGACGGGGGCGAAAAGCACACGAATGTGACTTAGAAGTGTACACTAACTACTACTACGTGAAAGGAATCGCAACGAGGCGGGTGAAGCGCATGCGCACGTACAACAATAACAGGGCTCGGACTGTCGTGGTTTATCGCAAAGCCTCGTGCTCTCGGGCCGCTGAAAGAGCATCATTTCAACAAGCTTTTCGGGTGCCTTTCAAGTCTCCCGTTGGCAATTAGGAAACCGTTTAGCTTCGTAAATTCTCTAGGTCAAGACTGACTGGAGATCGGTAGGTGCGAGTTGCCGCGGCGACGTAAGCGCGGGTGCGTCGGCGGGAGCGAGAGATAAAGAGACGACGACGTCGTAGCGTCGGTCCATCTCTTCGCCGTCGTTCGTCGTCGTCGTCGTCGTCGCTCGTCCGTCGTCGTCGTCGTCCGTCTCGTCGTCGTCGTCGTCGTCGGTCGTCGTCGCTCGTCGTCGTCGTCGGCGCAGCGGGAATCCGACGTCGCAACGTCGGTCGGCGACCGTTATTCCCGATCGTCGTCGCCGCGGTCGGGCGTAGACGACGCAACCGTGACGCAGCATTTCGCAGTTCGGCGCGGCCCTCAGGCGACCCTCAGCGAGACACACGATGCGTTACGTCGTGCGTGCGCCCCGTATAACGTGTCTCCGCGGCTCTATTTCGTCGTCGTCGCCGGCACAGTTACAGTTAAGGTTACAGTTAAAGTTACAGTCGTTACAGGCGGAGATAAATCTAGACTCGCCGTGAGCGAATGTAATGAATGGTGGTGGTGTGGTAATGCTGGTGTAACCGTCGGCTAGTGCTGCTGCTGTTATAGTCCGCTTCTTTCCCCTTATTAATCCCGCGTACGTCGCCAGGGTATACCTGTGTTTGCGCACAGGATTATAGACGAGTCGAATCTCCCACGGCCGATGCGAGTGCAATTGCGTATTGTCTTTACTGTATTGTGCATGGAAGGTGCTGGGTGGGGTGCGGGGTGAGTGAGGTGGGTGGGGTGGGAGAGGGGTTAGGGTGGTTGTTTGGCTTTACTGTATTTTGCGTGGGGAGGTGCGGTATGCTGGGGGGGCTTCAGGTGGGGTTGCGTGGGGGGTTGGGTGTTGTTGTCTTTTAGACTGTATTCTGGCATTGGAAGGTACGGGGTGGGGGTGGGTGGCGGTAGTGGGTGGGTGGGTGGGGTGGGTGGGTTGGGTGGGGTGGGATGGGGTATGTGGTTAGGTGGGTTGGGTAGTGGGGGTGAGGTGGGTTTTAGTTATTTTACTGTATTCTGGCATTCGGAAAGGGATGGGGGTGGGGTGGGGTGAAGGGTGGTGGGTGGTGGGGTGGAGGGGTGGAGTAGGGTGTGGGTTGTGGTTGTTGTGCTTTACTGTATTCTAACATTAAAGTGTGCTGGGTGGCGTGGGGCTGAGGTGGGGTGTGTGGGTGGGGTAGCAAGTGGGGTGTGGGTAGAAGTTGTTGGCTTTAACTGTGTCTCTGACATCGAAAGATGCTTGGTGCTATGGGGTGGGTGCGGTAGTGAGGTGGGGTGGGTAGGGTGGGTGGGTGGGGTGGGGTAGTGGGTAGTGGGTAGTGGGGTAGGGTAGGGTGGGGCGGGGGTGAGGTGTCGGTGGAATATGGTGGGTGGGGTGGAGTAGTGGGTAGGGTGGTGGGTCAGGTGGGTTCGATTGGGGTTATTTATTATTTATTGTTTATTTATTAATTTAAAGACGGTACATTGGTAACAGATAAATATGTCTGCCCCGGGTTGGGTGGTGATTGTGGCGTGGCGCGGGTGATGGGCTAGTGCAAATTGTAGTGGAGTGGGGAGTGCTGGGGGGATGGCGGTGGGGAAGAGATGTGGTTAGGTAGAGCAAGGGGGATGATGACCGACGACCATTTATTGTGTCGCCGCCGAATCACTCGCGACAATTTCACATTTACATTCACGTGCGTGCAATTGGAGCGCCAAGTCCCTTTGTGCAGCCAACACTCCCTCTCTTTCACCCACTCCCTCACCCCACCCCCGGTGTCCATAGCCTAGATCTCCCCTGGCGGCGTGGCAGGAGTGACCCAGCCGACACCCCGTCGTGCTTTCAGATTCGGTGACGACTCGCCATCGTCATAATAGCGAATTATGTCGTCATTCTGGCTTACTGCGGCGGTGCTGGCAAGATGGCGGCCCCGTCGGCCGCCGCGGACGGCAGCGGCGGTGGCCATCCTTTTGTCGGAGGTCAGAGGAGCATGAATGGCTTTCGGCGAGCGCCAGTCCACCACGGCTGACTGAGTGTGTCACAGGGGAAGAGTATCTGCGCGCATTATCTGACCTCCCCACGAGTCGACTTTTGAACTGACGCTGGCCTTTCTCTCTCTCGAGCGTACCACCGCTCTCTCTGTCCACCTGCAAGCGAGGCTATCCTTCTGCGTGCATGTGTGTGTGTATGGAAAGAGGGGGGGAGGGGGTAACTTATCGTCTCATCTACTGGCCAGCCGAGAATTTGTTAGGGGCATTACTGTGGCCAGTGTGCAAGAGCCGGCGACTGCATTCAGGCAGGCTCAGCAGTTACTATCGGGCGAGAGAATCTGGCCTTGTTTTACGTGATTTTTTTTCTCAGAGGTCACGTTCTTGCTCGCGGTATGAAGGAAGTATGGCCAGTAGGAAGTTATCAGAAGTAGATAATAGGGAACGGATAATAGAATTAATAGATAGGTAGGGATAATAGATTAGGGATAATATGATTCCCTATTATCTACTTCTGAAGGTATGAATCTATTTATCACTCTGTCTCTTTCTATCTCTCAATCTATTTATCTATCTACCAATATAATATAGTATAGTGTGTGTGTGTGTGGCCGTGTGTGTGTGTGTGTGTGTGTGTGTGTGGTGTGTGTTGTGTGTTGTGTGTGTGTGTGTGTGTTGTGTGGTGTGTGTGTGTGTGGTGGTGTGTGCGTGTGCGTGTGTGTGTGTGTGTGGGGGGGGGGGGGTATGTGTGTGTGTGTGTCTGGTGTGTGTGTGTGTGGTGTGTGTGTGTGCGTGCGCGCGCGCGAGTGTATAGTGTGTGTTATCGTGTGTGCCGTGCGATTTCCCCTCTCTCCATCTCTCTCTCGCTTCCTCTCTCTCTCTCTCTATAATATTATAATAGTACGGTGTCTTTGTGTAAGCGGACTAAGAAATAGAAACCGAGCTGCTGCTTGGATCTCGCCAGGCACGTCCTGACACTGCTGCATGTGTGTGTGTCGTAATATGACGTGCATACATCACCGGGGCATGAATGAACGAACGACGCTATAAGACTGTGACTATACATTTCCTGTTTTAGCGCCTCCGCCGTTCACCGCCCATTCACCTTCACCAATCTCGTGCATAATCCCACATAGGCCGTAAGTGTTCTCCACAGCGCGTCGTAAACGTCGGCGCTGCTAGAACAATGCTAATTAGCAGGGACGGCCCTCATTCCCGAAATCGGGGGCAAAACTTTCACAGGTGATCGCCGGCGACTTTCACAGGGTGGTTCGTGGAAAACCCGAGCCGGACCAGAAAGCGGGAGCGTCGCCGCATCGTACTGCTGTTACATGGGATGCAACCAGGGACCACGTTATAGAGATCGTACGATCGTAAGGGAGGACATTAAGGGGCTAGTTAGCTAGGAGGATGTAATGTTAAGTGCAGACAGAGGAAGACTGTGCGCGCTTCAGTGGGGAAGGTTTGCACGGCAGTGTGTGCGCGGGGGTGTGTTCACGGAGGGTGTGCAACGGGGGGATGTGTGCACGGGGGGGGCACAGGGGCAGTGTTGGCAGCGGGGGGAGAGAGTGCAGGGGTGGAGGTGCATCTTATATTGACTACTCTTCGGGTATCATTGTCGCACTACGAATAAATGATGAATATATGGACTGACTGGTAATACCACGTAAGTTGTGCACCTCAGGTGGAATGACAGGAGGTGCCAACACATTAAACGTGAGTTGTAACGACACACGGTGCGGTCCGCCCTGCTACGCTATCAGCTCCTCCATCCTTCCACCTTTATCGCTTCGGCGCGGCAGTATGCGGAAAACAGCGTCGAAGCGTATATATGTAGATGGTTCGATTCGAGACCGGTTACCGACGACTGGTTACGGAACCGATCGTTGCCTTCCCACCTGCCGCACCGGTGTTCGCGTGGCGTCGCATCGTTAGAAATCGGTGAGAAATGCGATTAGTACGGCGTTCGAAGCGTGGCAGCGTAGCCCAACTTTTGTTCTTCTCTCTACTGTCTCGTCGGCTCATTTAACCCGTGGATGATGTATATAATCGAATCTTCCCGCGTGTAAGAAAAGTAAGAAGAAAGTAAGGAGAAGTAAGTAAAGTAAGTAAGTAAAGTAAGTAAGAAAGTAAGGAAGAAAATTTATTGTTAACCCTATTACGCACGCCGTGCGGTCGTTCCGGTTTTTACCGACGACGACGGCGATGATGATGATGACGACGACGACAATGACGACGACGACGATGACGATGACGTCGACGACGGCAACGACGACGACGACGACGTCGACGACGACGGGGTTTTTTCGACACGCATTGTGCCGCGTGCTCGTTACAGCGCCCGGAACCGGCCGGCTACGCAAACTCGGACGACGATCCGAATCCGGGATTTATGATCGACGCGGCGATCGTCCGCTTCCGCGACGTCATCGCGCGGCGGGTCCGACGGCGGGTCGTCGATGCGACGAGATGCGCTCGAGGGGCGGAGGAGGAGGGATAGGCGGATGAAGAGAAGGAGGAGGAAAATACGGAGGAGGAGGGGTAGAAGGAGGAGGAGGAGGAGTATGGAAGGAGGA